CTGTGTCTCGTTACAGGCCGTCGCTAATGAATCCGGCTTAAACTTCATCTCTGTCAAGGGTCCAGAGCTGCTGAACATGGTGTGTGTGTTTTACACTCAAAACATTTGAAATTCACAATCCAAATCCATTTAAAGGTGCCATATGATGAGAAAACACCCAGGCGGAGCTGAATAATAAGAGTTCAGTATGTGTAAAAGAGCACACCTTGAGCCAGTGTAAAATCACTGTGCCAGTCAATCGATGAAGTGGATAAACACATCACCGCATTATGTGGGATTACATATGTTTATCTGTTGTTATTACTTGCTGGCATGGGGTGGATTTGGGGCTTGTTCTTTATAATGTGGAAAACTTTGAATAAAAACAGGCCAATCAGAACAAAACCCACTGTTAATCTACACAGGGCATTAATATTCGCGCCTCAGGCTGCTTTTGATTGGCTGTAACATTTCCGAGTGGGATTACAGCAATGATCAATATTTTACTTAAGCTCATTTTACACTTACCATGCATGTGAGACTCTTATTTTGAATAAAGACTAAACCGCACTGTGGTATTGCATCTGTACTTTTGCTTACAACGCGTCACTGACCGTAAACAATAACAGGATTAGTTCATTTCTGTACTATTAAGCAGACGGCAACACGTCTTCATATGCAGCGTCTGATTCCTGCACTTCTAAAAAGCTTTGTGGAGAACTTACAAAGCCTACTGTGTAGATATCAGAGCGCAACGGGACTTAAACAGCACCTTTAAAGAGAGCATGCATGAAGGTCAAATAAGAGGTGAAGAAAGGATTTAATGAAGTGTGTGTGTAAAGTGTGTGTGTGTGTGTTGTGTTTGTGTGCAGTATGTGGGCGAGAGCGAGCGCGCCGTGCGGCAGGTCTTCCAGAGAGGCAGGAACTCAGCGCCCTGCGTCATCTTCTTCGATGAGATCGACGCTCTCTGTCCTCGCCGCTCCGAGCACGAGGTGAGAAAACACCGAGCAAAACACAGTCTAATGCAGAGAGCTCAGAGTTTACGCTTCTGTACTTTCTGTGTGTGTGCATTTGTGTGGGTATGTTTGTGTGTGCATCTGTGTGTGTGCGTTAGTGTGCTTTATGAGGACATGCATGATGTCCTCGTAATGTAAAACTCTTGAAGATCATGCTTAGGGAGTTTTGACGTTCAGTGTGTCCGCAGGTGTTCTGTGAGGGTAGGGTCATATAGTAAGCTCTTCTTACAGTATAAAATACAGTACAGCTATGGAGAGTCCTCAGAAATCACTAAATTATCCTGTGTGTGTGTGTGTGTGTGTGTGTGTCAGTCAGGAGCCAGTGTCCGTGTGGTCAATCAGCTGCTCACGGAGATGGACGGTATGGAGAATCGCAGACAGGTTTTCATCATGGCTGCCACTAACAGACCCGGTAACACACACACACACACACACACACACACACACACACACACACACACACACACAAAGACACAAATATACAAGTGTAGGCACAAAACAAGGACACACAAAAACATACAGATATATATACACACACACACACACACACACCGGACATCTCAGCCTAGACACACACACAGACACAAGTATGGGCACATACACACATACAGACTTGTGAAATCCCTGAGGTGTGTTTCTGTGATGATTGTGTGTGTGTGTGTGTGTAGACATCATTGACCCGGCTGTGCTCAGACCAGGACGACTGGACAAAACTCTGTATGTGGGTTTGCCGCCAGCCGCTGACCGACACGTCATCCTCAACACCATCACTAAGGTGCACGCTCACTCGCACTCAGATCTGTCCTCATGCCCTGCTTCTGTTGAACACCAGAGGGAGATACTCTGAAGAATGCTGGAGGAAAAGGATGTTTTGTTCCTGCTGTGCAAGTCAAATATAAAACGCCCCCTGCTGGACAACACTTTTGCTGTGTCTTAAATTACAAAAAGTCAAATTTAGGCTTTTAAAAAGTCTTAAACTGACTAAAATATTGTGTTGTAGGTCTTAAATCATCTGAAACAGGTCTTCATTTTACTTTGTCTGAGTAAAGTTACTCAATTGAGCTGACATCTGTCCTATTCCCAATCACTCTAATGGTCAAGTCCACAATTATGCTGTTTTAAAGCTTAATATAAATGAAACAGATGAGTTCTGAACACATTGACCCCTCACAGTTATCATGAAGGGGAATATCAGCTATACACACCAAAAGCAGTTTTAGTAGCAGACTGTGAACGTGTGTTTATCAGCTGTAAAGTCGCCAAGTTAACAGTGGAGTCAATGAAGTGTGCTCTGTTTTGTAGCCAGCCCCCAGTGGCCAGTGGAAGAATTACAGTCTCAGTTACTTCCTTATGAGCTTCAGAGGGAGATGCAGTTTTTTCTCCAGCATTCTTCAGAACATCTTCTTCTGTGAACAGGAGAATGAAACTCTGCTGTTGGACACTAAATGACAGCAGAATATTGATTTGAAGTGAACTGTGTCTTTAATTCGGATTGTCAGGGTGGAACCAAACCCCAGCTGGACTCAGATGTCAGTCTGGAGGAGATCGCCCATGACGCTCGCTGCGAGACCTTCACGTCAGTACATCTGTTCATGAGGACATCATACCTGTGTCATGCTGTGTAAATGCTGAGTGTGTTGTTGGTTTGTGTGTTTCAGAGGTGCAGATCTGTCAGCGCTGGTGCGCGAGGCGTGTGTGAACGCACTGAGAGTTCACCTGGACCCCGCACGAACACACACAGGTAATGTGTGCATATATAATGCAGGCAACATGTACACACACACACACACACACACACAGGTAAAGCACATACACAAACATACACACAGCTAACACACCTGAACCAGAAGCACTGACTGTGTGTGTGTGTGTGTGTGTGTGTGTGTGTGTGTGTGTGTGTGTGTGTGTGTGTGTGTGTGTGTTTCAGAGTCAGCGAAGGACATTAGAGTGAGCAGAGTTCACTTTGAAGACGCCTTCAAGAAAGTTCGTCCATCTGTGTCTAAGAAGGTGAGTGTTGACCTTTGACCTGAAGGTGTTTACAGTAAGCAAGACTGAGCGGTTCTACGTCATCTGCATCTTCATTCAGGGACAGTTTTTAATATTATATAAAGCTGTACTTGCTGTCATATCATCTTTACTCAACACAGAGCTGAGGAGATGCAGGCTTTACTGTTTACAGGAAGATTTACTCACTGTTTCCTCTCCCTCAACTGTTTCCAAATCATTATGAGTTTCTTCTGTTGATCACTTAAGATATTTTCAAGAATGCTGAAAACCTGTAACCACTGTAGAATAAACTAACCCTGTAGAAGTCAATGGTTACAGGTTTTCAGCATTCATTCTCAATCTGCAGGAGCTTTGAACAGAATAATTTGTCCATCTTGTTGATTATTAATGACAGTTTCTGATTTATTGCTCTCTGCAGGACCAGTTAATGTATGAAAGACTGCGGGAAACGCTGAGCAGATGACCACCGACTAACATTAATGCACTATAATAATCCTGATGCTCATTGTAGACCAGTGCTTTTTACAGAACTGAACGCTCTGCAGTGGTGTAGATTATAAATCCTGCTTCACAATGTTTTCACACGACAGTATCGCCACTGAAATTATTTTATACAATTAAAACAAAATGAGCTTGATGTGTAACTTGTCTTTGCTTACGTAGAAACTTTCCAATATTATTCTATTTTTTAATAATAAATTGATTGATTATGTTTATGTTAAATTGAATATTAGTTCTGTACAGTTCTGTTTTAATATGCCGTATTTACAGTGAGCTCCTGCATTCACTAATAGAAAATTGCAAATGTTCACATTAAGAAGCATCTTTCCTGAAGTACATTTAACTTTACACAGTTTTGTTTGCAGCATGTCTTCACCTTGACTGTTTGATTTCAGACTGTTTACAGGGTTTCTGCAGCTTTTATCAGGGTATAAATTTAAGACTTTTATAGACATTATTAAGACCATTCTGAATGAAATTTTAGTCTTAATAAGGAGTAAAATCTTAGGATTTATCTTCTTTTGAATAGCCCAGAGTTGGAAAAGATTATAATTTAATAATACAATAAGAATAAAAAAGGTCAGGTCTGTGTCCTCAGCAGTAAATAAATGGAGAACTTTTAAACAAATGTTACTGTAAGGAAAGTTATAAAATGCTATTTTTAAATAAAAAGATTAGTATTGTTGGTGACTGTAAGGGATGCTACTGGCCAGATTTAGCAATACACCAACAAAGGAAAATTAAGAGCTGTTAAAAAAAGATTTAAGAACTGCAACACAATATTGCAGTAGGTTGAAGACCCTGCGGACACCCTGTTTAGAAACACACAAGACAGGTTTTGTTTATTACTGTTTTGTTTAAAAAAAAGGTTATCCAGTCAATTCTGCATTGAGTGGCCTTTTTCTAACAGTGTTTTGTTAGATGTAAGAGTTAATGATGCACCATTTCTATTAGGTTATTTATAATCCATATCTAATCTCTAATCCATTTCTCCATTATACATGTAGATATATATATAGATATCCATGCAGTTATATAGCTTAACATATAATATAGTTTAGACAAATATAGATATCTTAACCTATATCTCTGTCTATTCATTATTCATTCAGGGTTTTTTTATATTCATGTATATTTTTCACTTTAAAAGTTACCCATATATATATATATATATATATATATATATATATATATATATATATATATATATAAATAAATGTATGTGTGTGTGTGTGTGTATATATATGTATGTATATGTGTGTGTGTATTACAAATTTCTCCCCACTTCGATGTTCATTTCCTTTTCTTCTGATCATAATAATCACTGAGGTGAGGTCTCCGTGAGCCCAAACAGCAGAGCAGCGCAGCAAATCTCAACACAAAGATTAAAAATGGAGAGAAGTTTGAGTAATGTGGGTTTTGTTCACAAATATAGACGATATCTACATATATAATGAGCAGACGAGTGCAAAGAGAAGCGTCCAGACGGCTGAGCAGTAGAGAATATAGAGATTTACTTTCTATTAACATCGGTAACAATCAGACTCCATATCAGTAAGGCTGTTTTTAGTTGATGTGAAATATAAAAGTGTTGAAATAATGAAGACGAGCAGAGAGATGAGCACACAGTCCAGACACACTGCGCTCGCTCCATCAACAGCTCCTGTAAAACACTCCAGAAGAGGAAGAACACTGAACATGTAGAGCTACATGAACATGACCTGCTCCATCATACACATGATTAAAGCGTGTGGTGTCATGATTCCTGCTGCATTAATAGAAGAGTCCGGATCTTCAGAGCGTGAGAACACAAACGCTCAGAGGGTTTGGTGAAGCATTAAAATCAATGTGCTGTATGCTAAAAGCCTGTGTGTGTGCCGCAGTGTGTTTGCTCACTCCTGCTTGACGTCTCCGACCAGTTTTCGCTTGACGCGTGAATACGGACTCAACTGGTCGTCCATGATGAAGTCGTACAGCACTTTTATCCAGGAGCTGTAGCACGGCAGATCTCTGTAGTACTCAGATGCGATCTCTTTCACCTGAGGGACAAACCACACACACATCAGTAAAATGTCTATATTACAACTCTAGCAATGAACTCCAAAGTGTAATCAAGACATTCTGCAGGAAATGTAAGACCATCTGTCTGCTAACTGAAGCTTAACTGAGGATAAGTAACACAACAGGACGACGACCAACGCATGAGAGCAAATCAACAACTCAATGACCTCAACAGAAGCAAATACACCTTCTGGAGTGACCCAGTCAGAGTCCTGAACTCGACCTGATTGAGATGCTGCAGCATGACCTCGTGAAAACTGGAATACTGTATAAAACATGAGTGAATAAAGCAGCGTGTCCATCCCCTGAGAAACAACATCCTCACTCCTAATGAACGAGTGAAACTGAAGAGAGCCCGTCTGAGCTGAAGCTGTTTTCATTCTGTTGAGGGATACTTGTGAAATGGTAGGGATGTTAGTACTTTATGTGTTAAAGTGGAGTAATAGTTTTGTGTTTTTAATGCATCTGTTAATGACAGCTCACCCGGAAAACATCCTCCTCTGCAAACTGAAATATGATCAGCGAGTATGTAGACATGAGGATGTTGTGTATACGTCAAACTTTACAACAACACAAGGAAAAGCTTTCCAGTTTTAGCTACACAGTTGTGGTGTGTAAACACAGTCGAAATCACTGAACTGACAAAACACATCAGACCAGTGCTGTTCAACCTGCAATAGATTATAGCTCAGTTTGTGTAGTAAACTTGGCCTTTTAAGCCAATATCTGTACATTATGATGTGAAAGACTGAAAGAGCATTAATCTGCTGAAGTCATCAACAAAAAAGGATCAAACTCTTCTTTCAGCTGTCAAAGAATTCCCTTTAAAAAAATAAAAAAGGAAACAAACTAAAAAGTAAAATAAAGAAACTAAAAGGTTTACTAGAAGAAAAAACTAATGAAAACTAGAACTAAAATGTGAAAAAGAAAGTATTATTTTAAAGAATATATTCAGAAATGTTATATTGGACTATATTTCAGACTTTATTTAGAACTTTAGGACAAACGCTTGATTAAAATGTAGAGAACTAAAATAAATATTAATAAATATAAAACATGGAGAGGACAGTAGAGAGTATTGACAGGACAGCATTGGGAATCAAACTTGCTGATAAAATAAAACAGATGATTAAAGGTCCAGCATAAAAATCTAAATACTCAATGTTCTGGCAGCTTAGTCATGATGCTGTCCTGCATGTTTCTGTCTGCATTACAGTAATAGAGTGTAATACTGCGCTCATATACATGATGAAAAACAGCTATCACACACAGTCTATTCACTGACACCACTATATAAACGATAGAGCCTGATATGAAACAATAGACTTTTCATTTGTCCATATGATAATGTCATACTGCACAGCTCGACCGCTCTCTGTGATTGTAATGAGCTCAAGCAGAGCTTGTGCAAACATATCTATATCAGTCAGATGCTTTCAGAAGAGCGGCTTATTCAGACTGTTATTGAGAGGAAAGAGCTTCACAGCACATAAATGCTTGACACACTTCTCTGTGATATGGATATAGCATATATTATTGTCTTGATAACAAATGTGAAAACTGACCTTTTCTCCTCCTGTTAGGAAGCACTGTTCATGATGCGCAATATATATATGGCATCACCAAAATCACTGAGGTCATGTGCACGCGCAGGAGTCCGCAGATTTTAGCCCATCATTGAGTCTATTTATTTACTTGTTTAAATGTGTGTAAATTTACATTTATTTAATTTATAATTTATATTAGTAATGATATTGAGTAATATGAAAACGTTCATTAGATTTATTTACAATACAGTTTGTAAAGTCATATTTTCTGTCTTTTATACATCATATTGACCAAAAAAAGAGATTTGCATTGTAAACATTAAATAAATATCAAAAAGATATCATTCTGTATTTCATATTTTGAGTTTTTAGTTATGATACTCCCAAAATAACTCCACATAAATCTGCAGGTTTCTTACCAAATTCTCAGCAGAAATAGCACAACATGTCTGCAGATTCCGTCTGGCTCTACACGAGTCAATATATTTACAAAAATAAATAAACTGCTAACAACCTTAGTCCTTTTAGTTATTTAATTTGCAAGAGAATACACCACTGTTGTCTACTGTCTCGCCTAATTAACCTAGTTAAGTCTTTAAATGTCACTTTAAGCTGAATACTAGTCTCCAGAACATTAAGAGTACAATATTATGTACTGTCAAAAGAAAAATAATAACAGATAGTAACTGAAAAAAAGTTCAACAAGTAAAATAAAACAGCAGTTATGTGTCTTTATGAAAATAATAAAACAATAAATGTATATTTGATTAACTTACAGAAAATCTGTATTTCACAAAACCTGTTTTAGCCTAAAATTGACAGAATTAGAGCAAAATATTTGAATAATTTCTATTTGAAATGTGAAGTTGATACCTCAAAACCAGCGTTCAGTATAACTTTAACAAAATAACCAGAACAATGTGAAAGGGAATACTGTAGTCGACTGTAATTACTGTGCTGAACTGAAGTAAATGTGTAGAGATGAAGCTGAATAACTGCTCTCACCATTGGTAGTCGTCGTCCGGGAATGCTAGGGAAGTCGTGATGCTCGTTATGGTAGCCGACGTTGAACGTCAGCAGGTTCAGAGAGCCGTAGTAAGAGTAGGTCTCGTGGCCTTTGAGGAACATGTAATGTTCAGCGATGAAGTGTCCTGAGATGGGATGGAGACCCATGCCCAGCATCGAGCCCATCATCATGTAGACCACAGGTTTGGCGCCCCAGCTCCAGTAGAGGAGCGCGTTGAAGGACAGCTGGATGGCCACGTTCAGGAGCTCCAGCTGGCTGATGGGTTTGGGGTTGATGTAGAGCGGCCGGATGGCGTAAAACAGCGGCTGGAACATGATCCAGATCAGCTTGCGCATACGCGTGCAAAAAAACCAACCCTCAAAGTCAGTGGGGATGTCCACGTCCACACCATCTCCACCCAAGTAGCGGTGGTGGTCCAGATGGTAGCGTTTAAACGACGCAGAGTACGGTAGTCCTATAGGCAGATTGGCGAAAATGGCGAACCAGCGGTTCCACTTGGCTCGGTTGTTGCCGAAAGCAGTGTTGTGAGAGATTTCGTGAATGGCTAGTGTCATTGAATGGTTTATGCAACTTCCAAATGCATACGTCCAGAAAAACACCCATTTCCAGGACAGATCCTTCACCAGGTAGAAAGCCAAAAACTGGACAACCACCATCGTGCTGACTATCCATTTGAGCCTGGGGTCAGGGCCCATCAGAGACTTGATCTCTGGGTATTTAGCTGCAAAAACAAAAGAACAAATGATAAATGATTAGGGCTGAAAGGTCATGGAGAAATCTGATATCTTAATCATAAGTGTATATTAATAGACCTTCACCGCATGGCTCAAAGGGGGCATTTAGTGCACGGACTCAACAAGCTCAATCATTCTCTAAAATCTACACAGTCGGTATGTGGCTTGAGTAAGTTCAAGAATCCTCCAGAAATGGTTTCAGATGCTCATTTTTCACATCAGGAATTAGCCCTAGTAGAGCCGGGCGATTAATCAAAAAGTAATGGACATTCAGAACATATAATCAATCAAATTTTTCCAGGTCCAACAGAGTGACGCTGATTTAAACTTCTGTGTCGAATGCATGGGTGTGGTCCGGTGCAGCCTTCATGCAGTTGCATACCTGCACACCTCTCAAAAAATGTAACTACACGTCACACACTCGCACCGCATTAACACTGAGTGTAAGCTGCACTGACATGCCTTGAGGCAGATATTTTCTATTACAATAAAATGATTATTTACATGAAAACAATTGTTTACAGAAGATGCAGGAAATGCAGTGTTTGAAATATTATTTACAGCATATACAGGAGTTATTTTATTGAGAAGAGATACACAAATAATGAAAATAATGTGGTTTCCAACAGCTCAAATTATTTGTTTTCACTTTTTATAAGGAAAAAGAGACAATGTGTGTTTAAATTTCAGTTGTTCAACACTGATGTTCAATAAATAATCACTGATAGTAGAGAGAGTGTGTTTCCTTCAATTATTTTAAAATCAAGTAATGCGCCCTTCATTCAGAAATCTCTCACTTGTAGTATGTGAGAATATTTACTGTACAAAACCTGTCAGTGAACTATGAAGGCAAAAAAGAAATAAAATAATCGTTCATTAATCGTAATCGAGATTTTCGGTCAATTCGCCCAGCCCTAACCCCTAGAGCACAGGTGTCAAACTCAGTTCCTGGAGGGCCGCAGCTCTGCACAGTTTAGTTCCAACCCTAATTAAACACACCTGATCAAACTAATTGAGTCCTTCAGGCTTGTTTGAAACCTACAGGTAAGTGTGTCGGAGCAGGGTTGGAACTAAACTGTGCAGAGCTTCAGCCCTCCAGGAATTGAGTTTGACACCCCTGCTGTAGAATGTAAAGTTTGGTTTTGACTATATTTGGAATGGCCATGAATATTAATGAGCTGTGGCGTGCACGCACACACACACACGCACGCATGGATGCACACACACACAGCAAGATGTACTCTAAAAATCAACATGCAAAATAATCATTCTTCATATGTCAAAATATATTTCATAGGAGATGGCTTGTTAAATATTTTAACTGAAGTGAGGGAGAGATTTATCTCAGCTAGCAGGAGTGAGTGATATACCATTATTCCACCGGTTACCTAGTTTACTCCTGAGCGGTGTCGTGGATTAAATAAATGCCAAATTATAATAATAGTTAACAAAAGGGGAAGACAGTGATGTATTTAGAGCCATATTTTGAAAACACAGACAAGAATTACCATCAACCTCTGCATAAACAGACGAGTTTTGTGAAGTTCATGGTCATTCTTTTACTCCAGAATTTTGATGCATGAATGTGCATTAAGCTATTAAGCAATCTACATGTGTTTGTTACCTCATTAAAAACATACACAGCAAATTTGACAATATAAACTAACAGAAGTCATTTTTAAAAAAAAGAGCGTGCTGAATTAATGAATAATCTGTGTGTTCAACAGTCTTTCTTTTTAGTCTTCTTGCATCTCCAGTTCTCAAAATAAGACTCCAAACCTACACTGAATGTTCAACACAAGCTTAGATAAACATAAAAATAAGGGGGAAATGATATTGTTGTAATCTCAGTAGGAAACATTGTGGCTAATCAAACACAGCCTGAGGCGTTCATGTTAATGTTTCGTGTTCAGTCTGTGTTTTGTTCTGATTGGCATGCTTTTTTTACTTTGGATTTTAGACAGGATTTACATAAGAACAAGGAAACAATGATGTCTGATGCTCACAGTGTGGGTATTTCCATACACTGAACTCTTCATATTCAGCAATGGCCGGGCATATCCAGTTCTTCATTATAAAATGCTATCTTTAAATAGCTGTATTTGGAAATGACTCATTAAATTATACTGACTGGAATGATTGTTAGGGAAATGAACTGTGTAAATGATATAATAAATTACATATAAGTATAGATGAATGCAGTAGAGCAAAGATAAAAGTGAAATAAACAGTGGTGGTTTACGGTTTTCTGGAGAGTCTAACAGTATTCAGGTAAAGAATATGTATAATCCAATGTAAAACACACCGCACCGCACAGTCTTCATCTTAGAAATAAACACAACTAATCTATTTGTAAAAATAATAAATGTTCCTGCTTTAACTCTCTTGAGATTCTCTCAGTCACATGCTTTAAAAACACATGCAAATGATCAAACTTCACTGTGTCATGGTTAAACTCTGCAGTGTCTCGTGTGGAGCTGATCAATATTAATCCCGACTCAACACTGATCATGATCCCGCCGTGTGATTATTGCAGATCCTCATACAGCAATACTGATACTGAACAATATATTGTGCAGCCCAATAAATGATGAAACTCAAGAGTCAGACGTGGAGGATGAGTTCATTCAAATGATGCTTATTTCCCTGTCAATGCAACTCGACACTGGGTGTGATCTGTTGTTTTGTGTGTCTGGGAAAAGTAACATCAACCATAGCCATTCATCTTCATAAGCTTTATACTGCTAAACATGAAGCCAGTGTCATTTGCCTAAAACAAAATGCAAAAGACACAGCAGAATATGAACTTGTCCTATTTAATAAATCAAGCAGTAGAGCTGCACCATAACAAAATGATCACCACTCATATTGTGCTCAAAATGATTAATAATGACAATTACTCCTTTGGTCATGAGCTTTTACTCGCTTGTGTATTCTTATTGAACTTTACAGCCAAAAAAGTAAACATAAACACGACAGGTAGCACATGGAGAGACCTCTCTGACAAGATTCTCTTAGCTGTGGTAAATAAAATAAATAAATTGAAACTGTCCCTCTTTTACATGTCAACTTGTGCTAAAATAAGAAAAGGAGAAAAAATATATGCCAACTTAAGATAACAAATATAAAATATATGGCTGAAAACACAAGTCTGTTAACGTGGACAGGGAGTGCTTTCTCTTTCTGTGTCTTCTGTTAACATGACTGACAGATGTGTTAAAAAAAAGCTGAATATCTGCGTATATTTGCTTTACAGACACGAGACGCATACCTACATAAAGCCTGAAAGCACTTTTGAATGAGCCCGGAAAAACTTGTAACATTTCAGATGTTCTCTGGTTTAGTAATCTGTACGGGCGAATGCAATGCAGAAATCTCCATCTAATTAGTCCCTGCCTTCAGCATCAAACACAAATCATGACGACAGCCACTTTGTGATGATTTTTAAGGTGGTTAGTGAAGTTTGTTGTGTTACACTGGGAAGCTTGGACTGAACGGGAGCAAAGTTTTGAGTAAAGACCTGATCAACATTACATTCCTTGAATAAATGCTTTCAATCAAGATGCAATCATTTCATGCCTGAGATGCATTGTGTACACTCTAGGGCTACACAATATAATGTTTCAGCATCGATATCGCAATAGTCACATCGCGAGAATATGCAATGTTGAGTCTGGATAATAATCAATCACTTTGCAAGTGTTTTTGAGGCCGGTGACTGTGTGAGGGGTTTAGAAGCGGTCAGGCATAACAAATCCCATTATTTGTAACTTTAACATTTGTAATTAATTTTATTGAATTATTTATACAACAAAGACTATGCAGTATTATTTTACGTTTGATTATTCAATTACTGTATATTTGAATACTGTTAGACTCCTCTGGAAAGATGAAATGCTGTTTATTTAATGTGTATCTTTTCCTTTATTGAATTCATCTGTACTTGTATTGTTTGTTATATTTTATGCACTCCCTTAATCATCCCAATCAATCTAAAATTATGAATTCTTCCCAAATAGTTATTTAATTCATCTGATGAAATGGTATTAATATTGCAATTTTTAATTGCAGAACAGTCAGCACGGTGGAGCAGTGGGTAGCACAATCGCCTCACAGCAAAAAGGTTGCTGGTTCGAGCGCTGGCCAGGTCAGTTGGTGTTTCTGTGTGGAGTTTGCATGTTCTCCCTATGTTGGCGTGGGTTCCCTCCGGGTGCTCCGGTTTCCCCCACAAGTCCAAAGACATGTGCTATAGGGGAACTGGGTAGGCTAAATTGTTCGTAGTGTATGAGTGTGTGAATGAGTATGGATGTTTCTCAGTGATGGGTTGCAGCTGGAAGGGCATCCACTGCGTAAAACATATGCTGGAATAGTTGGTGGTTCATTAATAAAGATTAATAAAGAGTATTAGCCGAAAAGAAAAATAATGAATGAATTAACAGAACAACAACAAACAACAAAATATCACAATGTTAGATTCTTCCAATATCGTGCAGCAACAGTACAATCCATAAACTCTGCCCATTTAAAAAGCAGCTTGGTCTTTATACTGTTAAATCACCACAATATTTATAACTGATTGTGGGTCACAAATATCATTAACGTGATAAAAATAGGATTAATCATGCAGCACTAACTGGCAGAGCTGAGGCAACTAGAGGCTTCTCCAGAATTTAACTAGGGTTGGGCAATACGGCCATTCAAAAATATCCCAGGTTTCATCACAAAAAATTAATTTACAATTTAAATACATTTTCCACAAACACACAAAAAAGTAGTGTGGAGTTAAAGCTTATTAACCGAAATAATTAGCTTGAGCATATAATAACTATATAATTACAGGATATAAAAACTCTAAAGGGAAAAAAATCCTTCCCTCAAGAACCTTGCTGTCATTTAAAGATCACATTTTACAAGATCTATTTACAACAAACACAAGGTGTGGTGCGCAGGTTCAAATGCGTCTCTCTCACAGTGATGCATGACTGAGAGCCCTGAATTATGCCGTTTTTGGCGGGTGATTGTGCGTCAGTGTTATTATATTTCATAAAGCACAATATTTCTCAGAATTCTTCCCTGGAGCTATAGGAACCCAGAGGAAAGCATCACGTGTGTTACAGGAAAAACCAATGTAAACTTCACTCTGAATTAATCGATAAAATCAATTTACAGTCCGGCCCTAGTTTATACATTAGATCATACAGTATAGGAAAAGCACAGACAGCCTCAGACATGTTCAGATCAGTTATACGAGCTGACACCGGCTGCATGTCAGCACAGGCACAAATACTGGAAAAATCATCTCCACAGCAGACAAACATGAGCTCACATTAACAAAGTTTGCTCAGTAAATATCCAGCTGAGGATGAGGTGTTATTTGAACAGTGACTGCAATGTGTTTTGCCAACAGTTTCACAAAACTAAAGTCAGACCGTTTTGTTTTTGCTTTAAATTTTTAAATTATAGTTTAACTTAGAGGAAAATCTCCTCATGATACATGTGTGCTGGATCTGTGTTTGGATCATGATTAAAATGCTGTGTATCTGCCTCTAATGTTAAACAGAAAGAGCACAGGCAAACTCTTACTTTGTTTATATGAAAATATGTACTTTCTTCGTCTAACTTGTTTGATTTGGGAGCTGTTCTAATTTAAATTTAGTTTGTTATATTTGAATTTAACAAACAAACATTCTGCAATAGCCTATACAGCTGTGCAATGATCAATCATGACTAAATGCAAAAAACAAAGGTTTGTATTCACATGCTTGTGTGTGCTGGGAGTATATTATGTATACATAAACACACACTTTTATGTATCTATGTATACATGTACAAAAGAATTGCTTATTTATATTTATATATGAAATATTTATACATAAATTGTATATTATAATGTCAATATACATGTAGAGATTGGCACCCCAAGTTAATAGCTCGGAAACTTAATGCATCTTTAACAGTCATGGACAGCAGCATGAAGACGATCGTGATAATCCAATCTAATATTTCATATTTTTATGTAAAGATTTCTGTAGGAAATTATACTTGCTAAAAAGACTCCAAATAAGTCCAATGCATTGCAAAAAGTACAACATTAACAACAATATAAGACAAAGATGATTCACAATTTATTAATTTGGAGGTCTAAAACAGAAGTGTTTTTATATGTCTATACATTTATAATCACAACCAATTTAAAATATATTACCCATATCATATATAAGAACCTTTTTAAAGTCTCCCAGGTTTATCATTGGGCCTATTACAGATAAAGATAACAACATAATAACAACATAAACAACGAACGCATGCAACACAGAAATGCTTGCTCTAAAAATAAATGCATTTTAACCGCACCTCTCTGAAACTCAGATATAGCATATAGTATTCTCAGAGAACTTGCTAATTACTCAATATATCTTGCAGACCTATTGTGAACTAGTTTTAGATGTTTAGATGTTACACAAGTCGTATTTGTTCATCAGAAGTGTTTGCATCAATACTGGCTGCCCTTTTGCCCATGGTGTGTGTCAAAAACCTCTCTCAGCACGCAGCATTTGTTGCTTTATCACTGCTAGCTAAAACACTAAAAGAAAACGCACGTTCTTCTAGGAATAATGAAAAGCACATTTCCCTCCAGGCGTGTCTTTAGCCTCATTGTACGCTATAATTTAAAAGCTCCAAACCACTGACCACATGATGGTGTGTGTGTGTGTGTGTGCGGGGGTCAATGAGTGAACAATGAATAAGTCATGAATTAGGAACTGAGCAGTTTTGTATTTAACAGAATCCTTAAAATGAAATGATCCATAAAATCCGCAGCAATGTCCATCCAAACTATGAACAACGGGATTTGCTGGCTCAGCAGATTCAGCTCTTATCCAAAAAACAGGTTTATGTGAGATTACTGACATACTGTGCAATCTCTACTCATATTTCAGCACTAGCACAGCACACATGGAAACACCTTCATATATTAAATGTGAATTAGACATTAAAGTGACCATAATGAGGTATTATGTAATAATTAATATTACTCAGTAGTTAAATGAATAGTTACATTGTAACTACATCACCATAATAATATAGTGAGCTCAACATATATATCTGTAGCTCAGTCTGTGTTTCAGGACATGAAGGATGAAAGAAATGCATGACTTCACTGAGCTCATAACCTCGTCATGTGACCATCAGCTGCTAACTTTACCAGCACACCGGCAGCTAAACACTTCACTAATGAACAAACACTGACCAGATCTGTCAAATAACTCACATTTACATGCTCCAAGCAGACTGTTACACAACTATATCACTGATAAACTGTAAAAAGGTGTGCTTTAATTATGTAGTTAGTTAGCCATGTCATTTAATCTCTTCTCCTTGAAGTAAAGGGGTAGATCACACACAAAAAATGTAATGTACTAACTATATACTCTCCCTCAAGGGTTTCTTTTTTATGTACACAAAACATATTTTGAAGAACGCTGAAAACATCAAACCATATACTTCCATGGTAGAAAAAAGTCTCGCGAGCTTCCAGCATTCTTCAAAATATCTTCCTTTGTGTTCAACAGAAGAAAAAAACTGGTTGGAAACCAGTGAATAGTGACATAAATGTCATTTTTGGGGTGAACTGTCCCTTTAAATATAAGAATAGTGGAGTGTGGATATAAACATATGTTGCATATATGCATGCGTGTGTGTGTACCTGGTAATAATCCCATGATTCATTAGTAATAACAGTCATTTATGAGCTTGTGGGCATATATTCAGACTCCTTGAGGAAATCTGCTCAGAAGTCAGACAGAATGAAGAATTTTAACAATGTAAAAATGCAGATTATTTCCTGTGAGGGTTGGGTTTAGGTGGAGTTCAGGTCAAGACAAAACATAGTCTATACAGTAGAAAAATCATTACAGCTCTGAAACTGAAAACCGAATTTCAAGCACCTTCATTTTATACAATTTTTCAAAAATAAAACATATTTCATGAACAAAAAATGCCTTTAAACATTTATTTAAACACTAATTTATGCTTTTAAAAGTCAATCCTACTTAATAATTCTACAAATATATATTAACATTTTTGATTGTAGTTACAGCTATGTGGAGGGCTCATAAGACATGAAAACCCAGAGTGTGTGTGTGTCGGGAGTGGCCCTCACATAACGGTTAGCCTCAACTCGAAGTTTAGCTCTCAAATCCTCACACACACAGATCTTCAGACACAGAAAACACACTAAATTAGACACGATCAAGTATTACCCAATAATAAAAACCGTAAAGTGGAAACCGCGCGCATTTGTAACGTTAGCTCCCTCAGGAGAGCACTTTACATAACAAAAACGCGCCTCAGGTCGACTGCTGACGCGCCGCCGGTGTGTGTGTGTTTGAGAAGTGATGATTATCGTATAAATCATATATATTTATAATACAAAAACACAGAATTTCAGAACAGATGAAGAAACTCACCCAGTATCTCTTTCCTCCGGTCGGCGTGCGGCTGGTCCGTGTAAACCCACTCGAAATCCTCGCGCGCCACGCGGTTCCCCATTTTGGCGCTGATCTAGCGATTATTTTGCGGGGGGTTTTCTCTAGATGTGTTAGTCAGGAAATGATCGGCTTCCTTAAGCGGATCTAATGTCTGCGACCGTCCCTCATCATCCTCATTGAGCCTCCTTCCTTCCAGAAGATCTTCCGACTGTACGTGAACTACGCAGAGTGACGAACGGCGGGCGGAGACTGAAGTGTGACGTCACTGTCCTCTTCCTATGAGCAAACGCCAGCTTTGAATAGTTAATTAGAGCAGCTCCGTTATCCAGTCAGCAGCGCATTTTAAAGAGTTAATTTTATTTTATTTGTTAAAGAACAGCATATAACATTTTACAATAAAACAAACATGTCAGGGGGTAAGTAGCAGCACTCATCAGCATCTACAGTCCTCAAGTTTCTTTCTCTCAGTATATGGTAACTTATCTATCAGGTATTAAGCTCAACATGTAAGTAAATAATGAGGTAATAAGTTATTCATTCATTTAATTTCCTTTAGCTTAGTTCCTTATATGACTGGGGTCGCCACAGCGGAATGAACCACCAACTATTCCAGCATATGTTTTAAACAGCGGATGTCCTTCCAGCTGCAACCCAGTACTGGGAAACCTCCACACACACTCATACACCACGGCCAGTGTAGTTGATCAGTTCCCCTATAGTGCTGTGTTTGGACTGTGGGGGAAACCGGAGCACCCGGAGGAAACCCACGCCAACACGGGGAGAACATGCAAACTCCACACAGAAACACCAACTGACCCAGCCGAGACTCAAACCAGCGACCTTCTTGCTGTAAGGCCACAGTGCTGACCACTGAGACACCAGATTTGATTTTAGTTTTATTCATTTTATTTAAAGAACAACATATATCATTTTACAATAAAAAAACATGATGTGAGGGGTAAGTAGCACTCATCAGCATCTACAGTCATTAAGTGTCTTTCTCTCAGTATCTATCAGGTATTAAGTTAAATAAGTAAATTATCAGGTAATAAGTCTTATTTGTTTGCCATATTTTATGTGCATTTGATCATTTAAAGAGCTAAACGTTTTTTGCAATGGGAACAACTGATAAAAGGGCAAATTTATTATAAATACAAGCAAAAATATAGTTTAGTTTTCAGAAATAGTGAGTCAAAAACAAGCAAGCTTTACTGTTTAGATATTGAAACAAGACAAAATGTTAAGCAAGAGAACCATTTTCTGCAGGCATACACACAGATGATTAGGTTTTGTCTTTAATGATTGGTTTAAACAGTTTGGTGTGTGTATAATCATATTGATTTTATACTCAACATCTCATTATGAGCACAATACCCCTGCAAATGACACATTCAACCATTCAACACTGCATTTGAGTGTGTGATTACATCCAGCAGCACATCACAAACAATGCTTTCTGTCCTGTTTCTAGTCCAAACATCTAAACATTTTTAAATCAAGAAGCCTTACAAGCAAAATATACAGTCTTGCCTTAAGAAATAAATAATGAAGAGTTTCTCCTTAAAACAAGCTAAATAATCTGCCAATGGGGAAGAGGAATACTCTAGGTTTTACATTGACATTAGATTATTTTGTTTACCTCATGGGCAGATAATTTTAGGGAAAACTCACTTAATTTAAACTCATTATCTCTAAAAAAAACAAAAACAAAAAAAAAACAAGACGATGTGTTTTGCTTGTCTAATAAATGCTTCTAGATTTAAGGATTTTTAGACATTAGACATACTTTTTAATATAGCACATATCTAAACATACGTATTTGTAAATCCAACAACAAAAAACAACAATTTTGAAAGTGTCTGATGGTAAATCACTAAATGTTCACTATTTTAGGTCTGTTAGGATTATCTAAATGATTTACATTTGCTAAATGCCAGAATAATGAGAGATTATTTTGAGAATTGTTTCTTAATTTCTAGACAGTCAATAGTTTACACACATTTCCTTGGTATTGTTTAGCTTTGCTTTTAAACTGTATAACTTTGGTCAGATGTTTTGGGTCTCCTTCCACAAGCTTTTCACAATAGTTTGCAGAAATTCTGGCTCATTCCTCCTGCAGAATTGCTGTAACTGAGTCAGATTTGTTGGCTGTCTTGCTCACACAAGCTTTTTCAACTCTGCCCACACATTCTCTATAGGATTGAGCTCAGGGCTTTGTGATGGCCACTCCAAAACATTCACTCTGTTGTCCTTAAAGCACATGTGAACTCATTTGGCAGTGTGCTTAGGGTCATGGTCTGTCTGGAAGAGCCATTTGTGGCCAAGTTGTAATCTCCTGGCTGATGTGTTGAGATGTTGCTTCAGTATTTCTCCATAATGTTCTGTCTTCATGATGCCATCTATGCTGTGAAGTGGACCAGTTCCTCCTGCAGCAGAACAGCCCCACAACATGATGCTGCCGCCCCCATACTGCACAGTTGGGATGGTGTTCTAGGCTTGTGTTCTTTCCCCTTTGTCCTCCAGATGTAACGCTGCTCATTATGGCCAAACAGTTCAATCTTAGCTCCATCAGAGCACAGGACATGTCTCCACACATCAGTCTTTTCCCCAGTGTCATTCAGCTAATGGTAATCTGGCTTTGTTGTTGATTCTCTCATGTTGTCACACAGGGAAGCAGTGTGTTTGAGCTTTTCCTTCAATACTATTCTACAGTTGTGCCTCACATTAACTCAAATGTTGTCAATCAGCCAATCAGAAACTTCCAAAACCCTGACATCATCATCTGAGCTTTTCAGAGGCAGAATAATCGTATTGTGTGTAAACTTGACTTTCAAGAAGAGTTACAAGAATTTCTCAAAACAAATCTCTCTTATTATTCTGCTATTAAGCAGAACAGAAACACATGTGATCATCCTGACTTACCTAAAAGAGGAAAAGTTTCATCACATTAACATCTGACCTTATTTAAATGGTGATGTGCCTCTTTATGCAGTGTATGGAAACTTCTGCTTTTAACTGTGTGTAATTTTGCATTAGTTGCCATATCTGGGTAATGTCGATCAATTGATCCACCAAAGCAAATAGCAAATATTAGTGTTGTTTATTAAAGTCAGCGTCAGCTCTCTGGTGAGAGAATACGCTCGATCACACACACATGCGTGAGGTTTTTATCTCGCTGTGCTCTTTATGAAATCGCTGCAATGCCTATAATGTTCAGCGCTATTATTGTTTAATGTGTAGAAGGTGTGTGTTTATGGTGTGTGTGTGTGTGTGTTGAGGTTTGAGCTGACAGGACTAACCGGTTGATTAGACCTGTAAAAGCCACAGAGACATGCTCGAAATCAAAGACACACTGCAAAAGTGCTTTACTTACTGAGAGTGTGTCTTGTTTCTGGTGTAAATGCCTACAAACTCTTACATCAAGAAGCTTTTTCAGGACAAGCAAATGATATGCTGTTTTCAGAAATAATGAGCCAAAATGAAGAGAGTTTTACAGTAAAACAAGCAGAATGATCTTACTTCAAAGTGGAAAGTAGATTATTCTGCTTGTTTTGCTGAAAAACTCACCTCATTTTGACTCTTTATTTCTGAAAACAGCACTATATTGTTTGCTTGTCCTGAAAAAGCTTCTTGATGTAAGAGTTTGTAGATATTTGCTGTAGAAATAAGACAAAAAACATCTGAGAAAAGAGTTTATACAGTGAATAATCGCTCAGAAAAGGAAATGAAGAAGTGTTCTGATGCTGTCAGTGCAACCGTTGGTATATTTTCAGTGTAATGTGTGACCTGCAGAGTGTGACTGACGTTTGATCTGTCATTAGTCTCCGTGTTCAGTGCAGACGCCTCTGAGAATCTGTTGCTCAGTTTTATAGTGGCATCTGCTTTATCCTAGAGAAACCGGTTGTATCACTGTCTGTCAGCGAGCCTGTCTACTTGAAACTGAATATGCAAAACTCACTTTATAAGAGGTTTAATCACAGATATCTCCAGCCTCTAGTGGTGAACATGAATGAACTGTGCTTATTATAATCAGACATGATGCAGAAACACTTTGATTGACATTCTTCCTTTGTACATGTCATCAGAGGGGGAAAGCTCCGCCCACTAGTGCCCATCTCTCCATCTCATTAGCATGTCCAGCAGGCCTGAGTGAGAAGCAGCCGTCTGTCCATTAGCCATTAGAGTGTTTGAGCTGCTGTAGATGTAAAGACATATACACATTATGATCCTCTGGATCTTTTTGTTGAATATCCCTCTGCTCTATAGGCTGCTGCACACGTTTCAATCCCTCCCTGAGAGGACTCGTTGTTCCTGAATCTCATTAAAGATTGATTCAAAGTGACCAAATGTGTACAGGAGGACCCTTCACTACTGTATGACTGAACGATATGTGGATCTCTATACTCATGAGCAATACAAACACAGTGTATTTACACACACACATCTGCCTTCACAGCACACTGAGGGAACATGCGGGAAACGTCTTTCTCTTCAGGCCTCCATTCTAGACATATAGGGGCCCTACAGCCCAAGGGGCCCTCGTCAGTGTACAATTGGGTGGCACAGTGGCGCAGTGTTGCAGCAAGAAGGTCACTGGTTTGAGACTGGGCTGGGTTGGTGTTTCTGTGTGGAGTTTGCATGTTCTCCCCGTGTTGGTGTGGGTTTCCTCCGGGTGCTCCGGTTTCCCCCACAGTCCAAACACATGCACTATAGGGGAACTGATCAACTACACTGGCCGTAGTGTATGAGTGAGTGTGTGAATGACAGTGTATGGGTGTTTCCCAGTACTGGGTTGCGGCTGGAAGGACATCTGCTGTGTAAACTATATGCTGGAATAGTTGGTGGTTCATTCCACTGTGGCGACCCCTGATGAATAAGGAGCTTAGCTGAAGGAAAATGGTCAAAGTGATGTTTAAATTAAATAATTGTGATTAAAATGCACGAGTAATCACTTTGATAATCTAAAAGATATTTGGGATGTAACTGTCATCCTCTTAAAATAAGCCTCATCAGACACAGTTACTCATGTTGGAAACATAATGAAGTCACCGATATTGATTTACTCCCCAGCCCTGCTCATCTATGACCAAGTGAGATGTGTTTTAGATGAAATAAAGACTTTATATTTTATTCTGAGAGATAGAGAAAGCACACTCCAGCTCGCTTTAAACTGCACGGAAATCAAG